TTTTCTTAGAAACTTAGGTATAACTTTCCCCAAATAACTAAACCATGCCATACTTAGCCTAGCCCATCAAGCTAATTTTTTAAGCCGGACGGGTTTTACACTTTTACCCATCGATTGGTCCACGAGTCAACTCCTCAGGTTTGGGTTATAGTGGATACGGCAGTTCCTTTCCCCCCTACGTTGCTCCGTTCATAAAATTGATAATTCCTACCCCCTAACCCCCTGGTAACCCCCCCTCTCTCCTAGTCTCGACTCTAACTCATCCCCCCACCTACGTCAACTGCACCTCATAAATATAATTGACTTTAAAGTCTAAACTTTTGACTTCAAAGTCAACTAAAACTGCGGGGTACAATTGACGTGGGTGGGTGGATGAGTTAGGGTCGTGGCTGGACGGGTTTACTGGGGGTTAGGTGGGTGTAAAGATCATCAATCTTACGAATGGAGCACCATATATAGGTGTCCGTAGGGGGGCAGTGGCTTCCATAGCCATTGAAATCCAGTGGCCACAGGATTGGGTCGTTGATATACGACAAGGTTCCATGGCCACTGGGTTACGATGGCTACAGAAGCCACTGCCCCCCTACGGTGCTCTGTTCATAAAATTGATGATTTCTACCCCCCTAAATCGCCCTAGTAAAATTGATGATTTCTACCCCCCTAAATCGCCCTAGGGTCATGGCTGGACGGGGGATTTACTAGGGGTTAGACGGGGTAACAACAACAACAACAACCCAAGTGAATCCCACAACAGTAGGGTCTGGGGAGGGTGTGTGTACGCAGACCTTGCCCCTACTCGGAAGTAGGGAGGCTGTTTCCAAGAAACCCCCGGCTCCACCTGCACAAAAATATGGAAGGGAACACAGTATAATACAGATAAAGTACCAAGTACAAGCAACAAGTACAAGCAATGGCAGAAGATTCCAAACAAATACAACCCACTACAAAACAACTTCTACAACACCGAGCTCCTATCCAGCTACTCTAATCCTAGTTTTCCAAAGGTTCCTATCTAGGGCCATATCCTCAGTCAGTTCGAGAAGTCCTAAATCCTGCCTAATCACCTCCTTCCAATTCTTCCTAGGTCTACCCCTTCCCCTACTTCCCCCCGATAACCGTAATCCTCTCGCATCTCCGTACAGGAGAGTCAACATCCTGCCGTCTCACATGGCCAAACCATCTCAACCTCGCTTCCCGCAACTTATCTTCCACCGGTGCCATGCCTACCTGACGTCGGATAACTTCGTTCGAAATCCTATCCAACCTTGTCTTCCCACACATCCATCGTAACATCCGCATCTCCGCCACATGCAGATGACGCACATGAGTCTTCTTAACCGCCCAACACTCTGCCCCATATAACATAGGAGGCCTGACTACGGATCGATAGACGGGGTAAGAATCATCAATTTTACGAACAAGCACTGTAGGTGTCCGTAGGTGGGCAGTGGCTTCCATTGCAACTAGAATCCAATGGCCACGAAAGCCCGTTTGATATATTGGGATAAGTTTTAATAATCCCTTTGTAAGATCTCATATATTATTTACAAGGACAAATTTCACTCACTATAACATTTGTAGTATCATCCTCTAAACTTTTTAATAAGATCCATTAAAATTTTCTTCCAATCTAAGTAAACTCATTTATCAATGGTAGCCGATGACAATAAAATTACCAATAACATTAAATTTAATAGACATGTTGAAGCCAGTATTGGGAGATATCATTTCAGACACTCAGAGTGCTTTTTTGCCTGGACGCTTAATTTCAGATAATATTTTGGTTGCAGGCAAAATTGGCCATTATCTCAAGCGAAAACAACTTGGGCAGACTGGATGGGCAGCCCTTAAACTGGATATGGCCAAGGCTTATTATAGAGTTGAATGGAATTTTCTAAAGGGTATGCTTTCTGCTCTGGGCTTCAGTAATAAGTGGGTCTCGCTTCTGATGAACTGTGTTACTTCTGCAGTTTACTCTTTTCTGATTAATGGAAGAGAAGAAAGTCTGGTCTATCCTTCTCGTGGGCTCAGACAAGGGGGTCCTCTGTCCCCTTACCTCTTCATCATTTGTGCGAAAGGACTTTCCCTGCTTATCCAAAGAGAACAAGCTCTTAAAAATATTCACGGGTGCATTGTGGCGAGGGGTGCACCTCCAATATCTCACTTATTTTTCGCAGATGATAGTCTCTTTAAAGCTAACCTGCAGGAAGCGGAAGTGATTAAGAATTGCCTGGCTATCTATGAAAGTTTATCGGGACAAGCAGTCAATTTTCTAAAGTCAAACATATGTTTTAGCATGAACACTCGTCCCGAGGTATGTCATGAGGTTGCACAGTTTTTGCAGGTTAATGAAGCCAGTGACTTTGGAAAGTTCCTTGGTTTGCCCTCCTTCATCGGAAGGAACAAGAGGTTGGTTTTTTCATACATCGAGGAGAAAGTGTCATAAGAAGTTTCTCTCTAAAGCAGGAAAAGAGATTCTTTTGAAGACAGTGGCCCAAGCTCTTCCCATTTATCACTAGGTGGCATAAGAAGTTTCTCTCTAAAGCAGGAAAAGAGATTCTTTTGAAGACAGTGGCCCAAGCTCTTCCCATTTATGCGATGAGTGTCTTCTTATTGTCGGATTCTCTGTGTTCCTCTATTCAAAGGTGTATGAACAAGTTCTAGTGGAATAATGGTAATTCTAATGACGGCGGAATCCATTGGTTAGCTTGGGACAAGATGTGTGTGCCAAAGAAATGTGGAGGATTGGGTTTTAAGGACCTTCATACCTTTAACTTAGCTCTTTTAGCTAAGCAAGGTTGGAGGTTTTTAAAACATCCTGCTTCTCTTGCGGCTTGAATTTTTAAACCAAGATATTTCCCTCAATCTGAGGTTTTTAAAACATCCTGTCTAAGGCTCTCAGGCGCATTGGTAATGGTAAGGATACTTTGGTTTGGGGACATCCTTGGCATTGTGGAGCGGAAAATCCTTGGATTCAAACCCCCAAACCTACTTATCTACCGGATGTTAGGGTGGATCAGTTGAGAGATCCTAACTCCGGTGGTTGGGATATTAACGGCCTGCATGAGTTTTTTCGCAGGAGTGCGAATTTATTCAGAATATTCCCTTTTCTCCAGATTTAGAGGACAATTGGGTCTGGCCAGGGGACGTTCATGGTGATTATACTGTGAAAAGTGGATACAGACAACTGCGTGGAGAGGTTTCTGCCCTCAATTATCAATTCTCCCATTGGAATTTACTCTGGAATTTGAATATTCCACCACGGTGGAAGAACCTCCTGTGGCGGCTGTTCTCGGAGATTATCCCTACGAAGTCCAACCTGTTGGTTAGGAGGGTGGCAGTGGACCCCATGTGCCCAGTCCGTGGAGTTGTAGAAGAGACGACGCTGCATCTGTTTCGAGACTGTGCCTTCGTGCAACAGCTGTGGTAGTGGGGCGGTCTCACAGTTGTCTACAATTCCTCGAGCTCGACGGCATAGTGGGGTGAACAGTGGCTGCAGAGGCTGGATCAAAGGGATCGGCAGGTTGCAGCGGCGATCATTTACTCTATATGGACAGCAAGGAATAAAGCTTTGTGGGAGGGTTGGGTTCCGTCTGTTGCAGGGTGTTGGAAGACAGCAAAATGCATGGTGGAAGCTTGGTGCCAGACATGGAACAATCCTATGCAGCAAAGAAGATGCAGACAACCTCCGCAAAGACGATATGATGCATTTACGTGTTTCATCGATAGTGTTTTAAGTCGGACACAAAGGAAGCGTTTTTTGGATTCGTTTTGTATGAACAGGGCGGTAATTTTGTGATGGCTATCAATGGTAAACTCAATTTCTGTTTGAATCCGCTTATGGCTGAGGCTTTGGCTCTCAAGGAAGCTTTAACTTGGATCAAAGACAAATCCATTCCAAGAGTCCGGGTTTTTTCAGATTGCATGACTTTAATGCGCTCCATCAGTAATCATCGGTTCGTGGGTTCATCTTTTGAGGCGTTGACTATTCTTCAGTGCAAATCGCTTATGCAATCCTTCAATTTTTGTTCTTGTGATTTTATTTTTCATCATTTTAATTTCTCTCATATTTTAGCCTCTGAGGCTTTTGGTCAACAGTTCTCTTCGTCTTGGGACTTTGCTCCATTTGATTGTATCCCGAACTCTTTAAATTAATGGAATGAATTTTGACATAAAAAAAAGTCATGTTGAATTTAATAGACATGTTGACAAGTAAAAAGTTTGTAATTAAAATTTGCTTAGAAAAGCGAAAAATTACTATGAAACACATTCTTTTTCTTAAAATGAAATGGGAAATTATTTAGCTGCAGTTGGGAAATGTAAATGTTTTTTATTTAGGGAGAAAGAAAAGAGTATTAGTGATGACATGAAGTTATCAACAACAAAAGGATAAAAAAATCACCACAAGAACAATTTGTTCACAAACTTTAACAACCTTGGCTCTCAAATCAATCAAAACTGGAAAACCAAAAGTGTTGGCCAAACGCAAAATCAAACTATTTGGTAAAGTAGAAGGTCCCTATTTTTTTTTTGAAAATGCTTCCCAAGTCCCTGAATTATTTTAAGTGCTTTCAAGGTCTCTATATTTTTTTGAAAGTGCTTTACAAGTCCCTAAATTATTTTTAGTGTTTACCTGATCCTTATTCTTTTTAACTGGTACGTTACTGGTCCCTTCAGTAGCTTTTTTCAGACCAAGTCTCGTGAAATTGTTGTAACAATTGACGTTATATCACAAATTTTTGAACAATTTGAGTGTGTTGCTCAAACAATTTCTGCGCACTTGTTCTGAAAAATGCCACCGAAGGAACTACTAACGTACTAGTTAGAAAGTATATGAACCTGGTAGGAACTAAATACGGAGTATAATTTAGGGACATGTGGAGCACTTTTAAAAATATATAGGGATTTAGTAAGCACTTAAAATAATTTAGGGACTTGGGAAGCACTTTCAAAAGAATATAAGGTCCTTGTAAGCACTTTACCCTAAACTATTTGTATAACCAATTTCAGCAGATCATTGTCTCATTGTTAATGTTAGTACACTTAGTTACAGAAAGAGTTAACAGCCAACCACACAAAGGTAGCCTGCAGCAAAGTTAGAACTTCACTTGATGCTGCTCAGATTATAGCTACCTTTTACCCAACTTCTATACTATTCGATACCGAGGAGAAAACTGCTTTAGAATTAATTTATACCTTTTAAGCTTTGAGAGAGAAAATGGTTGAAGAATTCACAGTTTTTGACCAGATTAGCTACCAAAATTAATAGTCAGCATGGAGGAAGCCTTCATAAGCCGTTCCTTTCAGTGTTCTTCTAACATCATCCCAGTTCTTGATATGCTTCCATAGCGGCCCACTGTGTATCTTAACTTGACAACTACTCAGATTCATCACTGGCAGTCTTAAGAACTTCAAAGCATCCATTGTTTTCTGGAACAAAAGCCATAGAAATAAGCAATCAGATCATATAAGTTGAACCCAAGAAAAGAGTGTAAAAGAGGATGTCCTAAAGCTTCTAAACCCCATTTTTTAGTTGTTACTTTCATGCGAAAAACATTAAATTCTTGGGTATCATACGGGCTCTTAGGATTTCTCTAGGCATCAATGAATGTGTCTTACAGTCTTGTTTCTGACAAGATCTTCATAGTATAAAATGATATGGCGTGTGTTGTTGAAATGGTGAAGTGCTTCTCTGGCCACCATATCTGTTTGATTCAATTCCGGCATCAACGATGCCGTGTTGATGAAAGGCTTGTACTTCGCAAGAGTATCAGCCTACAAGAAGAGGGTATCAGATCAAATTTAGTGCATAAATCAATGATTTCATGTTTTGAGACAAAGATGTATACATACAGAAACAGACCTCTTCAGTTGAGTGAACGTGAGACTTGTGGGTCCCGTTCAAGAGTTTGGCATAGCGATCGTACGAATTTGCAAGCAATGAAACCATTCGGCGGAGTAGATTTCTTCGGAAAAGAAATATTACAGAAACACCTTTTTCATTCAAGTAGTCAACAATTTCTCTTGGGTGCTCCATCACACCCTGCATCAGTCGGTCATGAGAACACATCTTAAACGCTTTCCAGTGAAATAATTTAAAAAGACAGCAACAATATTGGCTTTTACTTGAACTAGCATTCCCAAAAGCTAGTATAGATTATATTCACTCTACAAGTATAACTAATGGAAGCTCAAGACACACCTTTAGTGAAAATATCAATATAGATGAATTTCTAGCTCTTCGACAAGTGAGCCACAAGCAAAATTGACTAATGTAAGCATTGATTAATAGCTGCCAGTTATCCTAAATGCAAATAACAAGAATTTTTCTTCATAAAACAATCCATCTTCTTTGTTGCAATGAAAATTCATTTATTAAAGGGTAAAAAAAGAACAAACTTTGATACACAAAGTATTTTTTCTTCCCCCTTCTGGCAGATTCCTAATTCCAGGATTCCATGCCAATTTAGAGTGATAGAGCGACAGTAAAAGAATGCTCATAGAAAATTCAAGAATCCACCAAAATGACCAAATGGTTCCCAAGGATACAATATGTTGAAATACATCTCAGACGTCAAGAAGGGACACATTATTTTATTTTTGGTACCTGATTAAGCATCCATTTGAAACCAACTGCGGCCGAACACTGATTCTTTGATGCACTAGTAAGCCAGTCCAGATTGTAAACTCTGTCTAGAGTCTCTACAATTGATGAAAAATTCTCCCTCCGTTCTTTGAAAGAGAATATTTCACCGTTGGAACTTACATTCACATGACTATTCAATAACGTCTCGAACCATCCACTCCCGGATCTTTGCATTGTCAAAATGACAAAGAACCGAACAGGATTACAGGCACATTCATCCCTGGCAGTCATTGACAAGAAGAGAAGGCATCCATAAATGCTGAAGGTGTAAAAAACAAGGCAATGGTTGTCGAGTTCATACCTGCTAAAAGTTTTTGGCTTTGGATAATGCAAATAGGGAATCTGAGATCTATCAATGTCAAGGTGATCACAGTGCCTATTTATAACTTCAAGATTCAACACATTATTTTCTCTGTCAGTGCAAGACTGGTTTAGATACGCAGAGAAGATAAATACACCACAGACCATTGCTAATACTACGAGCACCACCCTGAAAATCGCCGGAGATTTCTTTGGAGGTTTTATGATGAGGGTACCCTGTAATCCGAAGGAATTAACGAAATGAGTCCAGTTGGTAGTACACATTTCCTAGGACATACCAAAATTGTATAAGCTGAAGATTTTGTTGAAACAATAGCACCATATTCTTAAAGTTACTATTTTTATAATAGTTCTTTTCTTTTTTTTTCTGGAGTAGTTCTAGAATTTGAGACAGGTCGTGCTCGGTTCTGTCCAACAGATTAGGTAATGGAACAACTCATAAGTTTTGAAACTCAGACCAAGATCTACAAACAGGGAAAGCATCGAATTATGGGAGTATGATTTATCAGCTAAACCTCACTAATAAACTTGTAAAGATTACTTTTTGAAGGCGAATTGTTACACCAAAAGAGTAAAGCAAATTGTTAAACTCGGCCCTCTCATAAACACAAAATTTCAGCACACATTGTCATGAAAATTAGCTTAATTGAAGGCTCTATTAAGAACTTATAAAACCCAGAAAAGAAGAAACTGAACGCAGGCAACAGGAAAAATAATCGTAAAGAACAGACCTTTGTGAAGAAGCAGATTTGCTCAGCCATTACAGCTCCAGAGAAGAGAAGTGATGAAAACCCACAAAGGCTTTTCTGCAAAGAACACAAATAGTTGGTCTAACAATGTATAATCGGCATTCCTTCTTTACACTCCTGGCTACGGCGGGCAACTTCAGCTGTCTGGTGGTGGTGGGCTGTGTCAACCTAAAGAAAGCTTCTTGGGAGGAGGGAAGAGGACTCAGAGGGTGTTTGGCTGTGTGCACTTGTAATAATAATGATTTTACTCTGTTTGGCACGTCAATTTCTGTTTTTTACCACTACTATTTTGTACATAGAAGTGATAGAACACCGTTTTGGAGAAACAAGTATGAGATGCTTTTACTTTCAACTTTTATAAAAATCACTTTATACACAAGTTAATCAGTCCCAAATACCTTCACAATTTCTTGAAATTCTTGATTCACTTTATGTTTTGGAATCATGACGCATCATAAAAGGTAATGACTATACAAGTGATGCAGACACAGTTAGCTGTATGTTTTCGGACCTAAGTTGTGGGTTCCCCACGGGAAAAAAAGACCAAGAAACCAAAGTTATACCTAACAGAACTGGATTTCAACAATTGGAGTTTTAAACTCTATTGCACCCAAATGACCCAATTATATTAAAATTAAGACTGAATTCTATAATGTTATGAATGAGAAAAATTTGATTCAAATGTAAATTTAAAATTTGTAAGTTTTCCAAACATGTAATTTAAACCAAATCCGAATTTGAAATCCAAATTCATGTTCTCAAACATACCATAAACAAAGTTTTGCGGATTACGGAACATCATATAAGGAATCAAAAATATTCGTGATCTTTTATTAAAAAATTATTCTAAAATAAGTTTCTTGTTAAAATGATGTGTAAAATCACGTGACGATTAAAATAATTTTATTTATGAATTAGTATTGAAATAAAAAATAAAACTTATATGTTCAAAAATCATATCGAAAGTTTTTGTAACACCCTAATCCTTCCAGGTCTGCAGCCCCTTTCGGACTAAACTATTAACTTGGTAATCGTAAAATTTAAAACATTTCAAACACTTTTATTTATCACAATAATATTTTCATATCATAAACATTACAGAGTTTTCAATATTGCGGAAGCTTAACAAATCATAATTACAAACATAATTTATTTATGTTCTTTAATTCAAAACATCACATCCATTCCGACAGTCTCACCTCCGTCCGCCTCTAGGATCACGTCACATCATTCTTTCTATTAACCTGCGTGTAGCAAATAAAACATACTACACGCTCAGCGGTAAAGCTGAGTAAGCATATCTAATGCGTCGAACATCCATATAAATTGTATCTCAATTCACAATCAAATCATTTGATATCATGCACATAATGTTCAGTTCAGATATTCAATAATCAATATTCAATTTTCAACATTTATTATTCAATCGTTCAACATGTATGTTCTTCATTTGTCATTCAACAATATCCTTCCAGTATACAAAGTACACCTAATAATCCTTAAGCTAGGCCTAGTTTAAGATAAAAGGGTTTTGTAAATCTTAAACTTACCTTCACTTAAGACCAACCAAAAACCGACAGTGTAGTGTTCACTGTTGGGTGGGTGGTGCCCCCAAACGAGTAGGTACTCAAGTTTGGTTCTTGGATCCCGTACGTACGTTTTAACCCTAGCCACCGGGCATCATACCCGCAAGGCCTAACTTATATAGGTATATCTTAGACTTCTTCTAGATACTTTTCAAATCAACATTAATATGGGTGTATCTTAGAGGTCTTCTAGATACCCTTGACAATACATATTATTTTCACAATCATTAATATATTCATTATGATTTAATCATTCATAATTACCATTTTTAATCAAAACATTTATCAAGATTTAATCATCATAATCACCAACCAATAATCATTACCATAATCATAACCATATTCATTTTTAATCAGTAGGTTCATTAATCATAATCATCAATCAACATAATATTTAAAGCAATAACAATTAGCGGTCTAGTTTCAAGTGTTAACACCCGAACTTACCGTCATGCATCACATAACATTTTTATTTGTTAAAAATATCATTTTTATTGCAAAGAATCATCCTTAAAATAATCATAATCAATTGGTATCAAAAATAGGATTTTAGAGCTCAAAAATAGCAATTTCGGACAAATTTTCGGATCAGAACTTCGGGGGATCGATCCAGCCCTCTGGATCGATCCATACTATGAAAAATTACTCCTAGGGGATCGATCCAAGCCCCTGGATTGATCCAGACAGTGGTGTTTCAGCCACTGTTCATCATCTTCTTCGTTCGGGTCCAATTTCGGAAATACCGTTTTTAGTTATCGAACTTCAACGAAACTATATAGAGATGTTCTCCAAGGTTCATAGATCATTTTGCCATCATTAATTCATAGTTTTAACATCAATTTCATGGTTTATGATTCTTGGTTCTTCAAGCATGTCAAACACAAAACTCAAGCAAACGACTGTTTATGAACGTAGGAACGATCTATATGAACATTCTAGTCACTAGATATATCTACGAGCTTACCTCGAACTTAAATTGAGGTTTTATAAATTTTCCGGAAAAACTTCCGACGATGATTTCTCTCAATTCCGGCGACTTCGGCGACCACCAACTATTTCAGAGTACCCCACACACTCTTAAGAACACATTGGTAGTAGTTTCACAACTTTTGGTGAAGTATGAGAATTTTTAGCTCTTTATATAGTGAAGATGATGAAGAACAAGACACAGGATGTTGTGTATGAATCGACTCACGATCGGCTGAGTGGAGGAGGAGGGGCCGTCTGCACAGTCTCCCTGATTTGGACCAATTTTGGTTCCAGTCGAGGTATATTTTTTGGTCCAACTTTCTCCGAATTAAATTCCGTTTGTACCATTACGATCAGACAGTTAAACTCTATCCAACTATATAATTTTTATATTTATTTGTAATACTTTTTCCGACATCATATTTTTGGGTGTTTGACTTTGAGAGAGTCAAAATTGGTTTAATTGACCTTTCTCATAAAAGGTTCTCTCATTTAATTCATATCAATTATTCTCATGATTTATTTTAACAAGTCATTTCAATATTTACATTCTAAACAAATTCTTTATTTACTCTTGACTTGGGTCTGTACTCAGGTTCCCAATCAAGACCTCACAAATAGTCCACATATTGGATTTATCTCTATGAGACTTATCCATATTTTGATATTGGATGTCAAAACACATTTCGTATCGGCCCAAAGCCCCAACAATAATTTATTTTAATCAAAACAAATTTGATTAATTTATTATTTATTCATTAATAATTCTAGGGTATGTTTTGGGGCGTTACAGTTTTACAAAATAAGAGTTGACGAGAATATTTTATTTTATCAAATGGTCAATGAAAACATTGAAACGAATAAAAATTACCGAGAGACCGTAATAGTAAATAGGTAATTATTTTGAGACGAAGAGAGTAAAATAAGTTAATTGTGCAACACATGAAGAAAATTTTTCTTAATCATATATACGCAGTATTTGATAACTTTGTTTTAAAGAATAAACTTCTCAAATACATTTGACTTTGAAACCAAAAATTTGAAATAGAAAACTATATTGGGCAACTCTCTATGAGGTATGGTTCCCCCTTTTTGTTCATCCTCTTTTGTCAATTCAGCCTCATGTCAGTTTTTCCTTTTACTTCTTCTTCGCTTTCCTTGTCAAGGGTGTATGTGGTTCTCATTCTCTTCCCCTTTCCTTTCCAACTTTTAATGTAATCTTTTTACACTTATTTTAATTAAAATAATTAGGCTTAAAATATATAATACAATACAAATTTGCATAATTAAAATTTCAATTAAACGCTTCATTAAAATTAAAATAAAAAATACAATAAAATTGAAACATACTTAAATAAAAGTGCATAAAAAAGTAAGTCCTTAAATAATAGTGTGTTTAAAAAAAATCTAAAGACCTCTTTTTGGGCCGTCACCCCCCGCACCTCCAAACCACCTCCGGGATATCTTATCTTTCCTCATCATCGAAACTGCACGCTCCGTCAGATCAAGATTATCAACGTCGGTGGTCATGATTTTGAAGTATTTTTGCTCAAGCTTGCTGCTTAAGTTAAGCCAAAGCCTCTCCGCTTCTAATTCAGTAAAGGTGGCCAACGTCGTAGTGAGATGATCGAACCTTTTAACCAAGGATTCGATTGCCATGCACGAGGATCCCTCTCCTTTTTTGTCTAGTCCCTATGGGTCGTTCTGGCTTCGGTGGTGTTGGTATGTCATCATCATCATCATTACTGATGATCGATATCCAACACGCATCGTATATGTCGGCACTGTAGTTTACCACTTTAAAAGTTTTGGCATGTCTCATTTGGGTGGCCTCATTTAGAATCGAGGCCCACTTAGAACGTCCGTTGAAGATTTTCTACACCATAAGATGAGGGAATGCACAAAGTTGCGCTTGGTATTTTTCAAACGACAACCTCACTCATACCACTTGGACGATTGAGGTAAAAATTGTTGTAGAAACTAGAAAATTGTTACTCATAAAATAGATGTTAAAAATTCAGTAATTAAAACACTATTAAAAAGCCAATATAGTTCTTAACTTCCTAGATTATAACTTTTCCTTTGAAGATGCTCTAACATTGTGATGGATATCGGACCTTGGAGAAAGCCCAATGGGGCCCAAATGTGATTTCAAGGTCCAACATGAATGGAACCCGAGTCCAGATCAGAAGGAGAGGCCGAAGCCCAAGGAACAGGTGAAGTGTGTTGGTCTTATGGGGGACCATCGATCACCCTTAGGGATTCGCTACTGTGCTAGTCACGGTATCGGGTACTGACAGCCCAACCTGACGAGGTACACGAGTCGTGTATCTTGCGAAGCCCCTCCTGTCCATCCACCGCTCAGTAGTGGGGCTCCGCACTGCCGTAGTGAACTATAGGGGGTGCCTTATAGGAATCTACCTCGGCTTGGGCTACAGAGAGATGTGGTTAAATACAAAGTGTCCACCTTCCTATCACCAATTGGTTTTAGGAAGCATTTGGCACCTCTTTAACTTCAGAACTCTGTAGTTAAGCGTGCTGGAACGGGAGTAGTCCCAGGATGGGTGACCCACT